CAGCCATTCAGAGGTCACATTCTCCCTGAGATTTGTTATTTTCTGTCTGAAAGAGAGAGGATCTCTCCTCCTCCTCCTTCTTCTTCTTTGAAACAGATTGTCACTCTGTCAGCCTGAGCGCTTTGGTGTCATAGCTCACAGCAACCTCAAACTCTTGGGTTTGAGCAATCAATCCTCTTGACTTAGCCTCCCAAGTAGCTGGGACTACAGGCGTGTACCACTATGTTCAGCTAGATTTTCTATTTTTAGCAGAGACGGGGTCTTACTCTTGCTCAGGGTGGTCTTGAACTCCCTGGCTCAGGCAATCCCTCGGCCTCCCACAGCCTTGGCTTCCCAGAGGGCTAGGATTACAGGAGTGAGCCACCATGTCCAACCCTCCCTTCCTTTTGGATTATGCACCAACCAAGGTAGACTTGGGGCTTCTACAGCCATTGTGCTGATGGGAGAATGAAGGCAATGGGGCAGACAGCAGTGCCCAGTGAGACAGTACACCTGGCCATATTCTTAGGCTTCTTGGATCCAGCCATGCCTATAGTTAGAATTATCACTTGCACAAGTCAGTTACATGAACCAGTGAGTATGATCTCTTGCTTAAGAAGATTCAAACTGGGTTTCTGTCTCTTGCCATTGAGTAATGGGGCTGGGTGATAAAGCTCAGAGCCTGCCATGGGGTGCAGGGTCCCTTTCAAGAGGTGTCCCCCCGTTCATCTTACGGTCCAGGTGCTGCCAGCTTTGTGGTGGGTTGTGGGCCTTCAAACCACCAGTCGTGGAGCAGAGACAGGCAGCCCCAGGGCCCTGGGGACCTGCAGCCTTGGGTTCCTTAGAGATACACCCTAAGGACAAAGATATGCCCAGGCACCAAGTCCAGAGATACTAGACTTGACCTAAGCTATTGGTCTTGGGCTCCAAAGACTTCACCTGAGCTTGGGGAGGTGCACTGTGCTGTTGAGCAGAGCATAGCCCAGGACAGATAGTGAAGCTGCCTGTTCCTCCACTGCTTATACCCAGGGCCTGGTCTGTAACACCTAAGCATGCGCACTGGCAGCACTGGATCGTGAAACACCAAGCCGCAAGTGCATGAGCTCTAAGTGAGAGGGGCACTAGTGTGCGTGCACCAGCACTGTCTGAACAAACATGCACAAAACCACAGGTGATGGGAGCTGATGATGCTACAGATGGGTGTGTGTCTGGGGGGTCTTTAGGAACTTGGTGTGAGGGACCCCTGTGTGTGTGTACGTGTGGGTTTGGCCATTGTGACAGTGGGTGTTCCATCCTTTGTATCAACCCTCCTTCCTCCCTCTTTGGGTGGACACCTGCCGTCACACGTGGCAGATGCCGTTCGTGCCCTTGGACCTTGCCAGGCCCATGCATGCTGACCCAGCACCAGGAGCTGCAGCTGCCCTGCCTGAGACTTTCTCTGCCTAGAGGAGGCTACATGGCCTGCACAAGGGGCAGGAGAGAACAATCTCCAAAGGTCAGCCTCCCAGCTATGACTGCTGAGAGTTGGTGTGGAAATGGTCCATTTCCCTCACCCCTCAGGTGGGCTGATTTCCAGGCATGTTCTACCCTGCCTCTCAGAGTGGCCAGGGAGACCTGCTTGAAGACACCCTCACTAGATCTCTGCCCTTCCTAGTTTCTCTGCCCCACTCCCTCTGGAGCTGCTGGGTCACCTCCCTAACCAGCCCCTCGTCTCCAGGTCTGGCCCTGACCCCTCGGGCTCCCTGTGATGCAGCTCCACTCCTGGGCCCAGTGATGCTACAGAGGAGAGTGTTCCAAGGATGCTCTCCTCGGTCCCTACTCCTCAAGTCCTAGCACAGAGAGGAGGCCAGTCTCTTTGTGGGAATGTGCAAAGGACATTGAATGTGGTACCATGTGTGGTCACACCACAGTGCAGGGCACATTGTGGATGGACGAGAGGGGAAGACCCAAGAGCCTGGGCATGGGGGGCAGTTCTTGCTGGGGTCCGCATGGGGCTGGACACTATCACCACGAAGGTTTCCATATTCCTTCCAGGAGGACGGACCCCAGGGCACCCAGGTGAACCAGAGCCATGCCTGATGGTGTTTATAAGAACAGGCAAGAGAATCTCTTGAGCCCACGAGGGTGAGGTTGCTGTTGAGCTATGATGCCATAGCACTCCACCAGGGGTGACAAAGTAAGGCTCTGTCTCAAAAACAAAACAAAACAGGAGTGTTCATTTTGCATACAGAGATGGTGGGTGGGCTAGGGGTCGGGGCACAGGTATCAGGATGTGTCCAGAGGGAAATGCGGGGGGACAGAGATTCGTTCTAAAAATGGGATGATGTATGAATGGGTTTAACCTCATGGAAACATCCCAAGGGTGGAAGACAAGTCCAGGATCAAAATGACAAGTTTTGCCTACAACCATGAGTGCCGCTGGGCAATGGGTTTCAAAGTGGGAGAAGTGGGGCTCTTCATTGGAACTGACTCACTGGCTTTGAACAGTGGCGCCCGGAAGCCGGCAGGTGGCAGTATGGGGTCGGAGTGGGGGTGGGGGACCCGCTGAGGTCTGGAAGGAGGAGCTGGTGCTTCTCCTCGCAGTCATCTTCCCCTCCGCCACACCTCACTTCTGGGCACTTGGGGATCTAGAACTACACCCGGGGACTTGGGTTCTGGGGGGAAGGGAGTGAGACTGAGACAGAGACGGGGAATTAGGCTCTGCCAAGAGATGGCCAGCCAAAGCTACGGTCTTACGGAGGACACAAAGAAAGAAAGGGAATTTCTGCCCAGCGGAAGAAAACAACTCAAGTCGGTCTCATTACAATTCTCCTCTCTTTCCTGGTAGTACAAAACGCCAGGGTGCTGCAAGCCAAGTGCTGTTAAAGTAAAACGTGTAGTTCCTCATGTTCCTAGAGTCAGGTCTTGAAGATGATGGCTCATCCCAGTGACATTTACACCAGCCAAGTCTCAGAAATGATGCCACGTTTCAGTGAGGTTAAGAAAAAAAAAAAAAGAACTCCTGTAAGTCACCGACTACCCAAACATACGTCTCAACAGGAACTTGACAAGGCTTCAATAATACCTAATCAGGAGCCCCTCAAGGCGGGTTGCTAGCTCGAGGCACATTTTCAGTTTGCTGTGGGTATTTCCTTTTGCTTCCGAGTTTTAGAAAGGATGAAACCCCATGCACTTTTTGAAAGCTTTTTGAAAGCGTTACTTCTCACTGTATTTTTACGGATATGACATATTTATTTTGAACACAGAAAAGATACATTGTTGCTTATTCAGCGCCTAGTCAGGAAAGAAAAGCTGTTGAGCTCCATCCTTCAAACACTGATGAGTAGGTGGGGATTTTTATCTGCCCCCCACCCCAGCACTCTCTAGAAGTTGCAGAAGCAGGATGCATTTTTTGAGTCTCTGGAGTGCATTTAAAAGGCGATACGGTACAACAGACAGATTTTTTTTTTGCCTAGAAAAAGGTACACCGTAAAGGTGGACAGACTGTGTGTAAACAGGGTGCCTCCCCCAGGTGGAGTCTGGGGCTTCAGGATGTGCCCCCAGGATGCTACAGAACCCCTGGGTGGAGTCCTTCCAACTCCGTACCAGAAGAAAAGCTATTTCTCCAGAAAATAAAATTCATCCTTGCCTCCCCTCTGTTTAAGAAAGGGATTAGTGAATCGTCTTAGCCCTTCATTGGAGGAACTGAAATGTGGGGAAGAGGATGATGAGGTGCTGTCATTTAAGGGCAGGGTGATGGCTGCTGGCGATGCTGGCGGGGACACTTCTCACAGATTCACGGCTGCCACTGTGGCAGGCTGGGTCTTCAGAAATCACTTCTGTTACCCGTGTGGTCTTTGATGGAAATTGTTGGGTTCCAGGGCCAAGATCTGAGCCTTTCCATACCAGGCTGACCCCACAAAGGCTCTTCTGAGGTGGGACACTGGCAGCGTGGTGGGGACATATTGTGGTGGCATGGTGGTATTTATGGGGCTCATATCCCCTTTATTTTGTCTCTGCACTCCATACCCTGGAGGGGTAAGGCCAGAGCACATCCATTCACCATTCCCAGCTATGAGCTGCCACCCAGGAGGACAAGGCCAGCGCTGGGGTCTGGCTCCAGGCCATTCCTGCTCAGGCCACAGTGGTCGGCTGGGCAGAGGCTGAGCGAGAGGCCACTTCTCTGCCTTAGTGCAGTGTCCAGGCAGCATTACAGTGAGGTCACCTGGAAAAAGGCAATGGCCTCATCTTTTTTGAAGACCCTCAGTCCTGGGCAGTGGGTTGGACTAAATAAGGAACAGCTGTAACCCATGGCCACAGCCACCATGTGGTACTGCTGCCCCAGAGCCCTGGTCCTCCCCTGCAGCGTCTCAGATAACTCCACTAGCACCACCAGACTGAGGATGCTGGGTTAGGGAGGGTGCCTGGTGGGCTGTGAGGGGCTCCAGCTTATACCCAAACTCCCAGACCTGTGTCCCCAACCCTGTAAGTGGCAGGGTGGTGATGTTAGCTCTTCTGCCCTGGAATTGAGAGATAGGCACAGCACACAGTGGATGCTCACTGGAGCTTGTCCCACCTCCCAGGGGGACAAGCCAGCCCTGGGGCAGGGGTCAGGGCAGGCAGCTGACCTGGGATGGTCGAACAGTTTCTGGAGGCAGAATCAGAGTTTGAGCCCAGACTGCCAGGTGAGGGCAGGGGCAGAAAGGCCTGGGGAGAGGGCAGAGAAAGCCCCATTTCTTACTTAGCTGTCTTCCCCCAGAGCTGTCTACACAGGCACAACCAACAGGCTGGGGAGCAGGAGGCGGGAAGTTGCAGGTGGGCTTTGTGTGGGCATGGTGGGCCTGTGTGCGCACATGTCTACACATGTGTGAGGCATGTCTAGATCTGTGTGTGCACATGGGTATGTGAGTGTATATGTCTGTGTGTGTACAAGTCTCATACGTGTGTGCATATGTCTCTGTCTGTGTGTGTTTGCGCCTGTGTGTGCCTGAAGGATGTGGTTTAGCCTGGAGGGACCTGCAGGCCCTGGCCGGCTGGGTCACTCACATAATCCTCTCTGGGCCAGAGGCAGGGGCCCGGGTTGGGGCAGGTGAACCCTGTGAGCCCCTCGGGCCTGGTCCTGGTCCGGGCAGTGGCAGCAGGCCTGATGGCGGGCCAGCGCCACACACAGCCTCATAAGGGGGCAGGGTGTCCATGGAGACGGTGCGGACGCCACGCTGGCCAGGTGTCCTTTGCTCCTGCTGGTGTTCGTGGAGGCTGTGGCCACTTCCCGAGTCTGGGGTGCCACCCAGTGTAGGGCAGGAGTCTGTCAGCGAGTAGGGTGGCGGTGCATCCGTGGGGACATACAGCTGAGTGGCCCCTGGCCCCATGCACTCCTC